CCCTCCTTCCCTTCCTTTTTTAGTTTTTGAGACAGGGTTTCTCTATGTAGCTTTGGTTGTCCTGGAACTCTGTCTGTAGTCCAGGCTGACCTTGAACTCAGAGATCAGCCTGCTTCTGTCTTCCAAGTGCTGAGACTAAAGGCATGCACCTCCACCTGGCTGTCACCAGTGTTTCTAATGTGTTGAACTAGAACATGTGCCTTGCACTTACAATCTCCATATTGACCTTAAGACAACTATTTTTAGACCCTTCCTTGAATGCTGTTTTCTATCTTTTCTTTTCAGAGGAATTCACTGCAGGATTTGTTCAGTTCAGAGTGTTTAATAATGAGAGAGCAGCCAGTGCCTTGTGTGCTGGCATGAAGGTCACTGGATGTAATTCTGAAGCTGTTGAGTCTTTTAAAAAATACTGTTTATTTTATTATTTCAAATTATGTATATACATGTGGGTTTTTGTATACATATATGCATGTGTGTACATGTATCCTTAGAAGCCAGAAGAAGGTGTCAGACTCCCTGGAATTGGAGTTACATGTGTTTGTGACATGTCTGACATAGGTGCTTGAGAACAGAACTGAGATCCTCTGCAGAAACAGCAACTTTTCTGAATTGTTGAGCCATTTCTCATAAGTCTTATTAGGGATCAAAGGGGCCTGTGAGTAAGACTGAGTTTTTCAGTGTGTGTTGAACATGGGAGACTGTCATAGTAGTGTGAGCATGTATGTGAGAATGTAATCTTTCCTTATTCTTTCTAAGTCTCATGTATCAGAACTGTCTAGAAACAAATCTTGTAGAAGGTCAATGTTATGAATTCTAATGCACGGTTGCTGTTTGCTTAGATTTTATGCTAAAACATCCACTTCATTGACCTAGGATGACACTTATATTTAGGAAGACCTCTAGAAGCCTTGGGGTGGGGGAGATGTCTTAAGATCAATACAGAGGTTGTCAATGCCTTTTGAGTGTAGAGATAACAGTTGTTGTCACTCTCTACCCATGGTTTAGCTTTAGCTTTCAGAGAGAAATGTATCCTTCCAGGACTTGTGTAGATATCCATTGTGTTGAGAGGTTACTAGAAGAGTTTAGACATCTGGTAGACCTCACTCATGCTATTCTCTTTACAGATACTTTTTCTGGTTAGAGATCAGCACATATACTGATTGTGAGGTCAGGTACACTTAGCTCCACTGCAGCAACCTAAGCCTGGGATCATTAGACCCTTGCTGTTTATTTACTTATTTTTCTAGTTTGTGGCAAAAATCAGAATGTGGAGGAAATCATCGGGTAGTAAACAGTAGGAATTACCAAGAATACCAGATTCTTTTGGAACCCAGACCTCCTCAAAGTAACAGTCTGAGAAAAGGGTCCTCAGCTCTTGGCAGGTGGCCGTATTTCGTGGTTTCATTCCTTGGTTATTAGAGTATCCATTCTCCAGAAAGGATGTGGAGACTTTGCTGACAAGGAGGCCCCTGACTGTGATGGAGGGTGATGAGTACAGAGATAATGAAAGGGAAGGTCTCTGGGAAATCCTGGATCCTATTCCCCTTCAGTCAAGTCAAAGAATATGAAATGTAGTATGGATAGGTGTAAGTGTGTATTGTCTTATTGTTCAGCATAGCTTGCTTTGAACATCTAAACTGTAACATTGCGGGAGACATGAAACACCATGTACCTTGCTAGCATTTAAGAGTTTAGACATTCATACAAACGTATAATTGTTATTTGACATGTTTGAAGTATAATAGAAATAAAAACTAAGGTGCTTGGATATGGCTTAGTAATAAAACATTTGCCTAATGTACAGCAGGTCCTAGATTTTGGTTTTTAGTGACATAAAACAAAAGAAAGTGTCAGGAGCCTCCTGATCTGGAGAGGGTAGTGGTGGGGGGCACAGAATATGAATCTGGTGATGTCTTTAAAGTCTGAGGGTCTCAGGGCATTCTAGCTTTTGAACTGTACTGGAATGTTGATGATAACTTCTAAAAAGTCCTAAAAGCTTTCTTGCTCTCTCTGAGGGTAAGAGACTGCTGGCTTAGGTGATTAACACCTGTAGCCTAACAGCAGAGGATTAAGCAATGCAGCCTTTGTTTTATCTCAGCAGGAACTGCTGGGCTCTAACTTTCACCTACTAGTCTGAGGTCACAGGGGGAAAAAAGGACACTTAGGAGATTATAGAGTTTGTTACTAAATTGTAAAAAGTTTCCTATGAGAGCTATCTAAGGGGAAAAGTGAAAAGATCCTAAGCGGGGAGAGGAAAAAATTCTTTTCTATATACTGCTCCTCATCTCTTTGTCCTCAGCACTTATACATCTTTCAGAAGACATGATGTTACAAAGTTCATCACAAGTTCACACAAGAAATCAAATTGTAAATTGAAACACAACAGAGAATGTTTACATGCATATCCATTAGGAATAATTATCTGGCTAAACATCCATCACCTGTCTCAGCTCCACAGATTCACTGAAGGTTTAAAACAATGTTATTAGTGAAGTTTTGTATAGATAAATCCAGGCAATATTTTATCTTCTGTCCTAGCACCTATAGTAAATTGTTAGCTCCCTTTTTATGACCTTTGGTTAATTGTTTTACAACCTCTTGGAATGTGTACTGAGCAGGAGAAAGTCTGGTAACTATGTAATAGCGATTAACTGGTGACACTTGGGAGACTGGCAGAGTTCTCATTGCAGTCCCATTACAAAAGAACTTAATAATCACTGATATAATTTTAGGAATTCTTATAAGATCACCATTAAGACTTAAGTCATCTATTTGTCTATATAGCATCACTATAAGACAGTACATTTTCATGGATCTGCAGAGATCTGCTCCAAAGGGGTGGGCTATTACTTAGTGATTGCTATATATGTTTAATAATAACAACAGGAAAGGCATATTAATAGCAGAAATCTTTCCTAGAATGAATTCCTTACAACTTTGCTTAGTAAGGTTGCACCTGTTGCAGATTATATAACAATCCAAAGCAGGCCATTTCAGGATGACCACCTGCTAGTTATTAGCTTGTCCCATTATGGCTCCTGACAGAAAAGCAAAATACAGCACCTGTAATGAGCACTGGAAATGGTAGAGTACTCTAATGGCAGGAGAGGAATTTTGGTTTTGAGACAGATCTCATATTTCAGGTTAGTCCTAAACTACATTACATAGTGAGTTGATCTTCCTGCATTTACCGTCCCAGTGCTAGGATTGAAGGCATGTGACACTGCATCCAGTTTATAGGAAAGGTAGGTTTGAGTTGAGTCTTGGGAGGCAGACAGAAGCTCATGATGCAGGCCAAGTTAGGGTGAGTGAATATAAGTTTACCAGTGTCTCAGCTAGCATGTGGTATCGAGGGAAAGCAAGCTGTGTTTTAGTTTTGGTGTATGGGATGGATATAGAGCAGAGGCAAGAGCTGATTTATGGAGTGTTGACAGGTACTAGACCAGGAAGAGTCTTTTACATTACCCTAGAGAGTTTGTACTGTATATGTAAATGATGGGAACCATCAGCACATTTTAAAGGGAAGACTGGCTTGATTACCTGTGTGATAGACACAGTATGGCAGGTTGACTAAGCACAATGAGATATGGTTTCCATGATCCAAATGAAATCGTGAAGTAGGGCAGTATCCACATATGGGGCTAATGAACACCAATGACTTAACATTTAAGACCAGATAAACACACAGCATGGGAAGAGATATCTAGGATAACTTTATGGTTTTCGCTTGGGGGAGTATTCACTGAATACCACTTAAAAAGCTTTATTAACATTAAGTTTACTTAACTGATAACACATAAGTTATATGTTAATAGGATACATTGTGATGGTTCAATACACGAATGTATCATGCAATGTTTAAATCAACCTGTATCCTCAAAATGCATTTCCTTGTGGTAAAAACATTTCAACTACTTTTCTCTTATACTAACTGGGGGGGGGGGTCCCACTCTACTCTGTTTAGTTCCCAAGTAAATGACACAGAGACATTAGATTTTATTATCAAGCTGCTAGTACTATACTGGGCAGTTTCTGAGCTATTCTAACCCAACTAGGCTATCAATAACCACATAAATGTCTCAGTACTTGAAAACTGAGTCTTGCTCTGTTCCATGTGTGTCCTCGGGGTTAGCTTCTCTTAGCCATGTGCTTATGGCCCATCCTGCCTCATGGAGACCTCCTTTTTCCCCTCTTCTTTGTCCCCTTATGGTCCCTACCAGAAATCCTTTCACTCAATCTGAAGTTCCAATTTTCTCTCTCCCCTGCCCAGTCAGAGGCTCTAGCTTTTTATTTACCAATCAGAGATTATTGGGGAGCATTCTTTACAGCACACTGGTAATACAATGCCCATGTCCAGAGTGCAACCTGCTCTTGGGGCACAGAACTCAGCATCTAAATATGCAGTGCACTAGAGCAACTCCAACAACCTCTAGCTTTTGAACGTGGCAACTACTATCATTATCTCTAACCACCCTTCTCTGCAATACCATACGAGTGTTTCTTGTTCTTATTTAACTGTAATTTAGTATCCATTCAATCTCTTTCCTTCTCTTGTTTTTAGGATAGTGTAGTAGAACATTATTCTGCTACTTGAGAGGTTGAGACATGGAATCAGCAAGTTCAAAACCACTGAATATCATTTATTAAGTCACAATGTCTGAAAGAAGACAGGTTTGGAGTCAAGGAGGGATTTACACACATGCTGCTGCATGTTTTGGTCAACGATGGATTGTTTGTATGACAGTAGTCCATGTGGTAGCATTGCCTAGAAATGCCATAGTAATTCTAGATTGTTTGAGGACACCCTATAATGTTCACACTGTGGCAGAACAGCCAATGAATTTCTCACAGTAAATCCCCATTGCTAAGTGGCACATGGTTGTAACTAACTCTGTTTTGTCCCCCGATGTGAAGCTTGAGATGCTGGTATAGTGATTTGAGTGGCAGATGAATTTAAAATCTTTAGCCCAGGAAACATCAGGAATGGAGATAAACAGTTTGAGCCATTGGTGAATATTTGGTTAACTGAAGGCACAAGGGTGGCACAAAGTATAGGGAGAATTATGAATGTGTCCCCTCTGGGAAGTAGCAGTTAAGGAATTCATGAAGGAAAAGTCTAACCAGGGAACCTGAGAACAGAGATTCAGAGGAAAGATGGGAATAGACAATCAAGCCACTAAAGCTACTGGAGGGGCTTTTATGGGTCAAATAGATCAATGCTGCCAGTGGAGAGGCTGGCGAGGGACAAGAGTCCACTGAATTGGGCTACTAAGGTGTCTCTAGACTCATTGGCTATATTAGTCAGTCTTTTGCCTCTGTGATAAATACCTGAGAGAAACAGGTCAGAAACTTTAAGAAGAAAGTCTTATTTAGTTTCATAGATTTTTAGCCTCTGGCCAATTGGCTTAATTGTTGTTAGATCCATGATGAGACAGAACCATCCTACAGGAAGGGCATATCAGGAGTGTGGCTGAATGGTGACCAGGAAAGTGAAAGCCAGCATGAAAGGCCAGGGAAAATCATCCCCCCAAAACATGCTTCTCTGTGGCTGAGGAGATAGATGGCTTAGAGGGTAAAAGTCCTTGGGGTGCAAGTCTGGTGACTTCAGTTCATATCTTTAGAACCCCATATGTCAGCTGCACATAGTTGTGAAAGTGTCTGTAATTCCAGTGTTCCCTAGAGAGGAATGGGCAACAGAGACAGGAGCCTCTCCAGAAGCTGGTAGGTCAGCTCACAAGAGTGGTGAGGAGAACCAGCTCATACTAGGTGGAAAGGCAACATATGAAGACTGCCCTCTAACTTCTGAGATCACATAGGTACATTTGTGTCACATGGGTACGTGTGAACCCCAACTCTCTTCCTTTCCCAGTGACTTATTTTCTCTAACCAGAACCCAACTTCCACAGCTCCACCACCTCCCGATAGTCAATTCAAAATCAAGAACACAGCAATGACTAACCAACTGATGATGTAGCCAGGGTCCCCATATTCAATCCCTTCCCCTGCCTCTGAATATTACACTTGGGACCTGGACTTCAGGGCACACACACCTTTTGAGAGGGCTCTTCATATCCGAATCATCTCACCAACTGACCTCTCCTGGTTTCTCTGTGTTTTCCAGCACTGTATCGGTGGAGGGGGATACTTCCCAGAAGGTAATCCTCTGCAGTGTGGAGACTTTGGTGCATTTGATTGGAATGGATATGGAACTCACATTGCTTACAGCAGTAGCCGGGAGATAACTGAAGCAGCTGTGCTTCTGTTCTATCGCTGAGAACTCTGTGGGACGGACCCAGACTTCTTCCATATGTAGACTCCAAGGCATGGAGAAATACTGACCTGGTAACTAGAATGCTAATGACCAGGAAAGGAGAATAAATCATGTTCATTGCAAGCTTGGTGTCTTTATGAATTTTTTCTGTGTAGGGGTGGGAGATTACAAAAGAGTTTCTGCTGCTCAGGTTGGTTGTTCATGGGACATCAGGGCAAGGAATCCTGATACAGTAATACTGTTCTAAGTAGCCCCTCAAACATCCTGAAGGGTACAGGGAGGGGAGGGGGCACTTTACCCCACTGCTTTTTCATCTTGTTTTTAAAGATTGAAATAAAATTTAGCCGGGCGGTGGTGGCTCATGCCTTTAATCCCAGCACTTGGGAGGCAGAGACAGACGGATTTCTGAGTTCGAGGCCAGCCTGGTCTATAGAGTGAGTTCCAGGACAGTCAGAACTACACAGAGAAACCCTGTCTCGAAAAACCAGAAAAAAAAGAAATAAAATTTATTTATTTTGTGTGTCAAAGAATTATGTGCTGGGTGGTGGCAGCGGCTCATATCTTTAATTCCAGTACCTGGAATTAAATATCAGGCACATTGAGAAACCCTCACCTATTCTCATCCCCAGACCCAAGGGCCAGTCCTTTAAAAAAAGGTCATCTTCCAGAGCTTGAATGGAGAACATTATAATTCATGAAGGTCTCTACTAAATATCTCCAAGGGCTTGTCACAGCAGTTAGCAAATGCATTCACCCTGTTCCTATTTGTCTTGCTAACTTTTCTCTTCAATCCTTATATACCAAGCATAAGTAAGAAGAGCTTTGAATTACACAGAGTAGGCTAAGCGTTTATATGTGCCACCTTTGCATTTATTTTAAACAATACAACAATCACCCATCACAACAGAAATAAAACACAATGTTTTTTTGAAAAACATGTTTGTTTATTCTGTGATATTTTCATACCTGTCCAGTGCATTTGTAGCACACACATCTCTATCTCCCTCTTCCATCTTCTCCAACATGTCCCATTCCCAACTTCATGCATTTAGAAAACAAAATAAAACAAAAACACAAAAGGAAAGCAAACTTGCTGCTTCCATCCTAGCTATCAACCGCGAGTGTGGAGCTATTCACTTGAGTGTAGATATCCTCCTAGTGGCCATATATCTGCAGAAAAATGAACTGCCCTCCCCCAGGGACCATCAACTACCAATGACTGTCTCTCCCCAGCCATCATTAACTGCCAAGAGCTTGTTGGCTAAAGTGAAGACTCATAGGGGGTGGGAATTTTGAGGGTGGGGAGGTGGGAGTGGGGGGTATATAGAGGCTACATCCACAGAGAAGAAGGAGGAGGGGTAAGGGGATAGGGGGTTCCTGGGTGGGTGGGGGATGGGGTAAGGGAACAACATATGAAATGTAAATAAAACATCCAATAAAAAAAAAAAAGGAAAAAAAAAGTGAAGACTCATAACAGTTCAAATGAAAGTACAAATTTTGTAACCTGAACACCCATCATTTCTAACTTGAGTACATGTTTCATCATTTCTAACTTTATTCAATAACAGAAAGCACTCATATAGGTACTTTTGTGACTTAATTTAATACTGTTCATAAATTCTTCTTTTTGTTGTTCAAGTTGTTTATTGGATATTTTCTTTATTTACATTTCAAATGTTATCCCCTTTCCCTGTACCCCCTCAAAAACCCCTATCCCATCCTCCCTCTCCTGTTCTGTGAGGGTGTTCAGTTCCTCAGAAAACTGGACATAGTATTACCTGAGAACACAGCTATATCATTCCTAGGCATATACCCAAAAGATTCTCCAATATATAACCAGGACACATGCTCCAATATGTTCATAGCAGCCTTAGTTCACAGCCAGAAGCTGGAAAAAACCCAGATGTCCCTCACAGAGGAATGGATACAGAAAATGTGGTACATTTACACAATGGAGTAACTCAACTATTAAAAACAATGAATTTGCCGGGCAGGTGGTGGCGCACACCTTTAATCCCAGCACTTGGGAGGCAGAGGCAGGCGGATTTCTGAGTTCGAGGCCAGCCTGGTCTACAGAGTGAGTTCCAGGACAGCCAGGACTATACAGAGAAACCCTGTCTCAAAAAAACCAAAACAAAACAACACAACAAAAAACAAAACAAACAAACAAACAAAAAACAATGAATTCATGAAATTCTTAAGCAAATGGATAGAGCTAGAAAATATCATCCTGAGTGAGGTAACCCAATCACAAAAGAATGTACATGGTATGCACTCACTGATAAGTGGATATTAGCCCAAATGCTCGGAAAACCCAAGATACAATTTCACAGACCACATGAAACTCAAGAAGAAGGAAGACCAAAGTGTGGGTGCTTCCATCCTTCTTAGAAAGTGGAACAAAATACTCACGGGATCAAATACTTAGACAAAGTGTGGAGCAGAGACTGAAGGAAAGGCCACACAAAGCCTGTCCAATCTGGGGATCCATCCCATATACAGTCACCAAACCCAGACACGATTGTGGATGCCAAGAAATGCATGCTAACAGGAGCCTGATATAGCTGTCTCTATATCAGGTGCCAAAGCCTGACAAATACAGAGGGAATGCTCACAGCCAACCATTGAGCACAGGGTCCTCAATGGGGTCCCCAATGGAGGAGTCAAAGGACTGAAGGAGCTGTTCTTCCCATAGGAAGAACAATAATATTAACCAATTAGATGTCCCAGAGCTCCCAGGGACTAAACCATAAACCAAGGAGTACACATGGAGGGACCCATGGCTCCAGCCCTATATGTAGCAGAGGATGGCCTTGTTGGGCATCAGTGGGAGGAGAGGCCCTTGGTCCTGTGAAGGTTCGATGTCTCAGTGTAGGGGAATTCGAAGGCGGGGAGGCAGTAGTGGGTGAGTGGGTGGGTAGGGGAACACCCTCAATTTTTTTGTTGTTCTGCCCTGTGCACACAAACCTGGACTGGTCCTAAGACACGTGACAGATAGATACTGGGATTGCTAGGAGTAGATTCTAGAGCCAAGCTTCCCCAGTGCAAATGCCAACTCTCTTGCTTATCCCCTGTGCTCTCAGCCAAGTTCCTGAACCTTCAATGCTCCAGTCTCCTGGTCTGTAGAATGGGTTAGTAATAGTTCAGAGCTCAAGGGTTCTCATGCAAATGAAACAAAACAGAACACAAACATTCATACAAGAAGAGCAGGCTGCAATGGTTGGTAAACGACTGCTGCTTGTCATAGCTGAATGGATCACCCGTGTCCTGCAGAGAGTTCAGGAGAGCATTATAGACTCACTCTGGCCGTAGAGGGAATAATAAGAGGCTGTCTTCTGAGCATCACCAAAGTCATCACCACAGGTAATGCTGGGCCATTGTCAGTCCAACACTTTCCTCCTCCGTACTTCACTGGGTACTTCTACAAGGGACAGAAGAAGGTACTGGGTAAGGACTGTGGCTTTGGCACTCCCATGACGCTGTAAGAATAAAAATTAAAAATAACTTGGCAAGGACCCCTGGACAGCTTGCTGAGCTTGCTGAGAATAGCCATAATAAAAATATCCAGGGGCAGAGTGACCAAAAATTGTAGAGACAACCAAGGACATGCTCTGACAAACCTAAACATGCCCTAGTGAGAAATGGGCCACCTGGTGTTTTTCTCCCCTTCTTGGAGGTCTGTGGTTTCATGATCAAAAATAGCAAGTCATCCTGCCCGCCAAAATGATTGCTTACGCAAAAGTGCTGATGTTTGAAATATCCAATTATATGTAACCACGCCAGAATTTCCCGCTTTCCCCTTCCCCCCTTGCACTGTTCCCTATAAAAGCCCTGAGCTCTTGGGAATCTGGATCGATTCTCTCCCCTGCGTGGGATGCATTTTGATCCGAGGGCCCTCGTCAGTAAACTGCCTTTTTGCCATTTGCATCAAGTAGGTCTCTCATGTCTCCTTGGGTGCGCGCTGATTGGGACATGAGTCAGGGGTTCTCTTCGGGGGTCCTTACAATGCTACCCTGCATGGAGGAGCACAGCATTGGGCCAGTAACTGAGGTGGTTTCCAAACCAGTCAGACAAGAAAGAATGCTTTCCTTTGTTAATGCCTCCCTTGGTTCAAAATTCCTAAACGGACCATCTTTTGCAGGATATTTGATCAATATTGTGTTTACTGGATAAACGTGTTTCTAGTTGTGGTGTGGTTCAGCCTTAGCACACACCTTTAATCCCTCTGGCTGGAATAGAGACACACTCTTAGTACACACCTTTAATCCTAAATAATGAAGTTTTTATCCTAAACAATGACGTTTGTAGAAGGAAGAACCCATGTTTGAAAGTGATGTCTAATTAAATGACAGACAAAGTGATGCATCAGAGAAAGATTTTACAGAATAGAATATGCCCAACTTTGCCACACTTACATCCTCACACTTTCCCAGCGTGGACCACAGAGTCCACTTAAGAGAGTACCAGAGAGAAAGAGAGAGAAAAAGGAAGCAGTTTTACTGGTATAGTTGTACAGAGACAGGTTGAAGAGAGATAACAAGCTAGACACAGATGGTGACAGAACAAGCCAGAGAATGAAGAGTCAGAAGATTAGAACATGTTGTCAAAGTTAGAAAGAGGCCAAGCAGAGTAATTCAGAAGAAGCCGAGAGAAGCCAGATTGAATCAGTCAGTGTGGAAGGGAGCTTTGAGACAGAACAGCTCAGTTGAATCAGCTGGCCAGAGATAAAAAAGAACCAGGAATCGATGAGCTTATTCAGCAGTAAGTCTCAGAGGCTGAAATTCTAGGCCTAGATAAGATTGTAAAGAGGCTAGAAGCTTCCAGGACTAGGCTTAGGTTAGCAGATGGAGGCAGTAAACCTACATGACAATTACTTGAGGCAAATAAAAGTTACTTTTACATTCATTACACTTTAGAGTTAGGGAAAGATGGAACATGAGCCTATGGAATGATGGTTCCCACCCAACCTCAAGCACCTGCCTCTCCACACCCTTGAGAAGGAG